GATGGGGTTTCACCATAATGGCCAGGCTGGTCTTGAACTCCTGACCTCAGGTGATCCACCCACCCACCTTAGCTTCCCAAAGTGCTAGGATTATAGGTGTAGCCACCTCGCCGGCCAAAAGCAATCTCTTTTTTTTTTTTTAAGATGGGGTTTCACCATGTTGGTCAGGCTGGTCTTGAAATCCCGACCTCAGGTGATCCGCCCACCTTGGCCTCCAAAGTGCTTGGATTACAGGCGTGAGTCACCGCGCCTGGCCCTGCCTACTCTTAAGGACTGTGGCTTTCAAGAGAGCAGATGGCTATCCCCCCAGCACCCACAGGCCCAATCAGGGCAGGAGCTGGTGGCTTTGCTGGGAGGGGAAGTGGGTAGGAAGCAGGGCCACTCATCGAGGCATGCAGCCTGCTGGAGCAGGAGCCCTGAATGGTTTCCTTGCCTTGCACAGCCCTGATTGAGTCCCTCAGCCAGAAACCACAGACTGCCGGTGACCAACCCCAACCCACAGATGCAACCCGTGCCACCCACAGGAAAGCAGGTGGGACCGATGCCCCCTCGGCCAACGGTGAAGCTGGAGGAGGAGAGAGCACCAAAGGCTACACTGCAGAACAAGTTGCAGCTGTGAAAAGGTAGACAGCTGGGCCAGGTGGGCAGGGGCCGTAGCCTGGGGGACTGGGGACATCTAGAGGCTTCCCGCAGCACGTCCTCCACCTCCCATCTGCCTTTGGGCTGCACCAGGCTGTGGGAGGATCTTGGAGGATGGAGAAGGTCCAAGTGCCCAGGCTCAACAGGGCCTCTCCTTATTTCCATCAAGGCCCAGGAATACAGTGTGGGAACCGGGGCTCCACTATCCTTCCCACCAAGATGACCCACAGCAGAGGCTGGAAAAGTTGACACTGCCAGCTTCTTCTGCCACTGGCCAGGCAGGCCCCAGGCCTCTTGACACTGCTGTGTTTGTCAACAGAGATGGAACCTGGTCTCCCCCTCCAGATTCTACCCCAATCCACACCCCAGCCCCCAACAAAGACCCTTTTAGATCAGAGCCTATGTGGGGTAAAATGGAAACCAGAGGCAGAGTTATCACCCCTAGGCTGTGGGCAGGCCCCACGTGGAGCAGCTCACTACCAGGACAGAGACCACCCAGCCAAGGCTTCTCAGGCTTAGACGTTCCCAGCTCCCATTTCTCCCCAGGCCTCCCAGCAGCTGATCTTGGACATCCCCCAGGGTCATGCCCACAGCTCCTGGCAAGCTTCAGGATGGGGGCTGCTTGTGTGAGACGGAGCATGGCTGCTGTTTGCTATAATAGTATAGGCCAGATCTGCACTTCTCTGACCTGGCCAGGTCTATTGTAGGCAAGAGAAACTGATACATGAGGGATTGGGAAGGCCTAGAAACACCCAAAAACTGGGGGGTCTCCAGGGGCACAGAGAGGAAGAATTGGTGAAAGAGAACCAGGGTCTCTTTAGGTCCTGTGCTTGGGGTGAACAGTCACCTGCCATTTCTGGCTTTCATGTTACCCACTCAAGACTTAGATTAGGGCAGGCAAGGTAGCTCATGCCTGTCATCCTAGCACTCTGGGGGGCTGAGGCAGGAGGATCCCTTGAACCCAGGAGTTAGAGACCAGATTGGGCAATTAGAAGACCCTGTTTCTATCTTTAAATATCTAAAATTTTAAAAACTTAAAAAAAAAAAAAAAAAAGACTCATAGCCAGGAGAGTCGGTTGGCTGATCTTGGGACACTGCCCTGGGTGATAGACACCAACAGTTCTCCTGAGCCCCTCCCATGGGGAAGCTGTTAGGAAAACAAGGGGAGGTAGATACTGGCCTGGCAAACCCAGCAGCTGCCCCTCCTAAATCCAGGAATCCAAACAGTGCTCCTGCTGTTTCCTGTGGGCCTTCCCAGCTCTGCATCACATTTGACACCCACTGTGGCTTCTGTGTCCCTGAGGTCACACAGCTGACCCAAGGAGCTGTCAATCTTGCCCCGTTGGTCCCTGCAGCCTGCTCAGAGCTGTGTGCCCCCCATGGCCTATTCCTCACTCACCTCACACGGACCCATGTGGAGCACCCCCCCACCATGCTCTCCTCCCTCCCCAGGGTCAAGCAATGTAAAGATTACTATGAGATCCTAGGAGTGAGCAGAGGGGCCTCGGATGAGGACCTGAAGAAGGCCTACCGCAAACTGGCCCTTAAATTCCACCCAGACAAGAACCATGCACCTGGCGCCACTGAAGCTTTCAAAGGTAAGCCGGCCCCGGTGTCCTGGCATTTTGGTGTGTTTATCTCCTGTCCTTGGCAGGGAGTAAGGGGCCATGACAAGTTTCCCAGGAAGTGGGGGGCAGGAGGAAGTGGCCTCAGGCACAACTTGCCTAGGCTTGGGAGCTGCTTCCTGGGATAAAGGTTCTAGTAGCCACCTATAGCTATGTAGAGTTTGTCAGAGCTCAAATAGTGCCATTCCTGCTCTCACTCCCTCTGCAGTTCCTGGGGTTACAGGAGTGGAGTTAAGGCGAGAAAGTTCTAGCAGCTTCTCCAAGGATTCTCAGTGATTGAGTGACTTACTGTGTGCACTCCACCCTGTCTTGGAGTCTCATAGCTGCCCACTTTACACAGGTAACTGTTTCCCTGCTGAGGGGCAGGGTAGCCTCAGGTCAGGGCCCTCAGGCCTGGTGGCCACCTCAGTACCAGCAGCCACAGCCAGCTCCCCTGCCATACCCGTACACCTGGGGCCTGCAGTGGGGATGTGGCAGTCACTGGCCGCAGGGCCCACTGGCTCTGGGGTGGGTGCTTAATTTCTGGCTGAAATCATAAGCTGCCCTTTATTCATTTTTTTTTTTTTTTTTTTTCAGTCAGAGTCTTGCTCTGTTGCCCAGGCTGGAGTATAGTGGTGGGATCTAAGCTCACTCCAACCTCTGCCCCCTGGGTTCAAGCAATTATCCTGCCTCAGCCTCCCAAGTAGCTGAGACTATAGGCGTGCACCACATCTGGCTACTTTTTTTGTATTTTTTGTAGAGACAGGTTTCACCATGCTGATCAGGCTGGTCTTGAACTCCTGACCTCAAATGCTCCTCCCACCTCAGCCTCCCAAAGTGCTGGGATTACAGGCGTGAGCCACCATGCCTGGCCTATTCATTACATTTTCATTTAACCTATCAGGCATAAATGTGTACTGACTCTGTGCACTGTAATTTCTCATTGCCCCAAATATCACTGTCTTCTCTCATTCCCACCATATCCTTCCTTCTCTCATTCCGGCTTCATCCATCTCCTTAGGAAATAGCATGGTGACTAGTCCCCCCAGCCTGGGTGGGGTGCATGCTGTGCTGCGCCCACGACCATAGCCAGCTGGAGATCCTGTGGCAGAGCAGACCCCAAGACTTAGTGTGCTGTGTCCCAGGGGCCCCCGAGGAGTAGGAGAGTGAAAGTGGGGGTACAGCAAGGTAGCCCTGGTGAATATTTCTTCAGCCCCAACCTCTGCCTGCAGCCTGCTCCGACTGTACCGAGAGGCCAACTCTGGCCTTGAGGCCTGGTCAGAATAGGTGAAGGAGAGGATTCCGTCCTCCTTATTCCCAGGGATTTCGAGATGTGAATCAGATGTGGCTTGGACCCACTCCTCAGAGACAGAGGCAGCTTAAGGAGAAGGAGTAAGAGACTGAGGAGGTCAGAGCTAGGGGTCCTTCAGGGCACAGGCGTCCCAGCCAAGGAGCTCTGGTGGGAGGCTCCAGGACCAGGTAGGAAACAGCAGCTGGGGCCTGGACCTCAGGGAGTAGGGCCTCACCCCAGCCACATCACCAGAGTGGAGGAGTCTCCATAGAACCCCAGGATTTGGCCCTTCCCCACAGTTCCTGCTGCCTTCCAGTTCAATAAGGATGTTGTATGTCTGTCTGGCCTGCATGTCAGACTATGATTCAGTTGTACAGAACCTTCAGAGAGGGACACCCATCCCACTGGACACCTCAAGAGAGGAATGAGGAAAGAGGTTTTGGTGGTTTTTATAAAGTCAGAGAGAGAACTTGAAGCAAGAGACAGCTGGCCTTTGTTTGACTCCCAACTCTATAACGCCAAAGCTGTGTGAGCATAGGCAGTGACTTCTCTTCTGAGCCTGTTTTCTCATTGGTGAAATGGAGATAGGGTGGCTCTTAAAGGTAAGTGAGTTGACTGGATGTGGTGGCCTATGTCTGTAATCCCAGCACTTTGGGAGGCGGAGGTGGGAGGATCCCTTGAGCCCCAGGAGTTCGAGACCAGCCTGGGCAGCATGGCAAGACCTTGTCTCTACAAAAAATACAAAAATTAGCTGGGTGTGGTGGTGCACGCCTTTATTCCCAGCTACTCAGGAGGCTGAGGTGGGAGAGTCACTTGAGCAAAGGAAGTTGAGACTGCAGTGAGCCGCGATTGCTCCACTGTACTCAGCTTAGGTGACAGAGTGAGGCCCTGCCTCAAAAAATAAAATTAAGAAACAGAGAAAGAAGTAAATGAGGCAATGCCCCTAGGGGGCCTGGCACATGGACCAATGCCTTGAGGAGAGCAAGGAGCCTGTGTTACCCTCCACCCAGCAAGGCTGCCCAGATCCACGGAGGGAGCTTTCTGAGTGCCCCTCCCCACACTGGCCAAGCTTTCTGCCAGCCCCAAGGACTTCTGCTCCCTAAAGTGCTGCTTGAGTACCTGAAAAAAGTGAGCACTCACCTGCCATAGGAGCCTCCACCCACACCCAGCATCCTCAGGCCTGACCTGCCCCCTCCTCTCCAGCCATCGGCACAGCATATGCGGTACTCAGCAACCCGGAGAAGAGGAAGCAGTATGACCAGTTCGGTGATGACAAGAGCCAGGCAGCCCGGCACGGCCACGGGCACGGGGACTTCCACCGCGGCTTTGAGGCTGACATCTCCCCAGAAGACCTCTTCAACATGTTCTTTGGCGGCGGCTTCCCTTCTAGTAAGTTCCCCACCCTCCCCACAGCCAGGTATCCCTGGGGTGACGGTAGGGATGGCATGCCAGCCTCTGCCTTTCCCAACAGCCCCGGCTCCTGACTCAGCCCCTCTGACCCCCAGGTAATGTCCACGTCTACAGCAACGGCCGCATGCGCTATACCTACCAGCAAAGGCAGGACCGCAGGGAGAACCAGGGCGATGTGAGTGAGAAAGCCATCGGGGATAGCTTGGGGAAGGCACCAAATCCACCCCAGGGAAGGAATCTGGAGCAGTGTTTCCTTCCACACTGCCCATTCTGGGACCCGCAGAGCTGCCACAACTCTCAGCCAAGGAGCCCTCTGGGCCTCACTTGCCATTCTGCTGAGTGACACCTGGGGGAGGGGTGCCACACGAGGGCGCCGTGCTCCACATTACCTGCAGGAGCACAGTTTTGCTGGCCTGGCTGGGGAGTGGAATGCCTGCAGCCAGTTTTGGGTATGAGGCTTCCATGCAGCCTGCTCTCTGGTACAGCCAAAGTGACATCTTCTAAGCAATGGAAAGTTACACTTCGTGAGAGAATTTTATTTTATTTTTAATTTTTTTCTTGGGTCTCAACTGTTTTCTCTCAACTTTGTGAGAGAATTTTTTTTTTTTTTTGAGATGTCCCACTCCGTCGCCCAGGCTGGAGTGCAGTGGTGTGATCTCGGCTCACTGCAACCTCTGCCTCCTGGGTTCAAGCTATTCTCCTGCCTCAGCCTCCCAAGTAGCTGGGATTACACATGTGTGCCACCACGCCCAGCTAATTTTGTATTTTTAGTCAACACGGGGTTTCGCCATGTTGGCCAGGCTGGTCTCGAACCCCTGACTTCAGGTGATCCACCTGCTTCGGCCTCCCAAAGTGCTGGGATTACAGGCATGAGCGATGGCCAGTGAGAGAATTTTAATGGATGACAGCATAGGTGCTGACTCATCTCGCTAAAAGGCCAAAAGATGCTTTTAAAAGATATTTACAAAAATTTGGGAGGCCGAGGTGGGTGGATCACCTGACGTCAGGAGTTTGAGACCAGCCTGGCCAACATGGTGAAACCCCATCTCTACTAAAAATACAAGAAGTAGTCGGGCATGGTGGCACCTGCCTGTAATCCCAGCTACTCGGGAAGCTGAGGCATGAGAATCACTTGGACCCAGGAGGCAGAGGTTGCAGTGAGCCAAGATTGTGCCACTGCACTCCAGCCTGGGCGACAGAGTGAGATGCCATCTCAAAAAAAAAAGATATTTATAAAAATTATAACTAGACAGTTCTTCAAACACGTTTTGTATGCCACAGATCAAAGAACAGCTAGCTAGCTAAAATTAAAATATTGTGGACAATTGCAGAGCATTTTAAATTCTGGCAGGCAGGAGGGGTTTCCTTTTGCTCTGACAGTGTTTATTCAATTTTTTTTTTTCCCTGACAGAGTCTTGCTCTGTCACCCCGGCCAGAGTGCAGTGGCACAGTCTTGGCCCACTGCAACCTCTGCCTCCCTGGTTCAAGCGATTCTCCTGCCTCAGCCTCCTGAGCAGCTGGGACTACAAGCATGCACCATCACGCCCAGCTAATTTTTGTATTTTTAGTAGAGATGGGGTTTCACCATGTTGGCCAGGCTGGTCTTGAACTCCTGACCTTATGATCTGTCCACCTCGGGCTTGCAAATGCTGGGATCACAGGCATAAGCCACTGTGCCTGGTGGTGTTTGGTTTTTTTTGTTTGTTTGTTTTGTTTTTTTAAAGCAGGGTCTCGCTCTGTCACACTGGCTGGAGTGCAAGAGCCTCCCCTCCCAGGCAAAGCTCCGACCTCAGACTCCCAAGTAGCTGGGACCACAGGCCCGTACCACCACACCCAGCTAATTTTTTCTGGAGATAGGGCCTTACTTTTTTGTTTGAGCCCTGGCTGGTCTCAAACTCTTGGGCTCAAGTGGTCCTTCTGCCACAGCCTCCCACAGTGATGGGATTATAGGCATGAGCCATTGCCAGGGTCAAATTTTTTTTTTATTTTGTATTTAACAACAGAAGAGTTTTTGGCCAGGCATGGTGGCTCATGCCTGTAATCCCAGCACTTTGGAAGGCTGAGGCAAGCAGATCACAAGGTCAAGAGATTGTCACCATCCTGGCTAACATAGTGAAACCTCATCTCTACTAAAATACAAAAAGTAGCTGGGTGTAGTGGCACATGCCTGTAGTCCCAGCTTCTCAGGAGGCTGAGGCAGAATAATTTCTTGAACCCAGGAGGCAGAAGTTGCAGCGAGCTGAGATCACGCCATTGCACTCCAGCCTGGTACCTGGCGACAGAGCAAGACTCTGTCTCAAATAAAATAAATAAATAAAAAATAACAGAAGAGTTTTTAACAGTGAATGAATTTGTTAATTTTTATTTCTAATTGTTATATGTTTGTTTGCTTTTTCTGCAACCTAAGACAGTGCTATTTCTAACTTTAATTGGTAATTTTTATTTTATTTTCATTATTATTTTTTGTAGAGTTGGGGTTCTATGTTGGCCGGACTGGACTAGAACTCCTGGCCTCACGTGGTCCTCTCACGTTGGTCTCCCAAAGTGTTGGGATTACAGGCATGAGACAGTGCACTTGCCATATGTTTAAATTGGTAATATATTTGTGTGGTTCAAATTTGAAAAAGGTGTATATACCACATGTCTCCTTCCAGCCCAGCCTGCCATTCTCCTGGAGGAAGCAACTTTTCCTGATTTTTTTTTTTTTGCATTCTCTCAAAGTAAATGCAGACACCTCACTTCCTCCTGTATTTTACACCAGTTGCTGCTTTATTTTTATCTGGGAAAGCTGGCAGGTGAAGAAGCATCTGTATTTGGGGATGAGGGAATTCGTGGAGGGAATGGCAGAGTGGTGTCATGCCTCCACAGGCTCACTGTTCTAGGGAAGCTGGTGGTGATTATGACTGATGCCACACCCCACCCAGATCCAGCGGAGTGATGTTGGCTCTTCCCTCTAGGGCGGGCTAGGGGTGTTTGTGCAGCTGATGCCCATCCTCATCCTGATCCTTGTGTCAGCTCTCAGCCAGCTCATGGTCTCCAGTCCACCCTACAGTCTGAGCCCAAGACCGTGAGTACAGGGGCGAGGCTGGGCAAACCAGGGGCTTTGGATTCTCAACCCCATCAGGGGCCTTCCTTGCTGTCCTGATCCAGCCAGTATGCGATCATAATGCAGAAACCTGGCTTCAAATCAAGAAAATATACTTTCTCTATTGAACTAGGACTCTTAACCTTTCTAGGATTATGGTACCCTAAGAGAATGCAGCAAGAGCTACGGACCTTTTCCGTAGAACAATGCACATGTGCACGTGCACACAAACACACAAGATACACATGCCCGCACACACACACACATATGTATATACACATACTGTACACACAGAATTTTGCATATGATTTCAGCGGCTTTGTGACTCCCTCCTGCCCATCTCCCCTGCCAACCCTGACAAAGAACCTCTGTTCCTCGGTTCTGATTGGGCTCCCTGAGGCTATGGAAAGAACAGGACACTAGAGTCAGCCAGAGCAAGTGCAGCTTAGAATCCCAGCTTCTCCACTAAGAAACTGTGTGACCCTAAACAAGTTACGTAACCTTGGTTTCCTCATTTATAAAATGAGAAGTATAACATCCACCTGCTGTGGAAATTAATGAGTAATGCATATAAAATGTCTGGCCCATTAGAAATGCTCAACAATATTTGTTCAATGAATGCATGGTCTCGACTGCCAGGAGTGAACTTGAGGATGTTTCATGACCCGTTAGGGTGTCATTTCCCCTCATTGATGTCCAACACTTGGCCCAGGATCAGCTACACAGTGAGTGCTCAGCTTCAGTGGGTGGAGCCCTCCTCCCCACAGGCAGCCGCCTCTGGCAGGGAGCTGGCAGGACCCTTCTCAGTCAGCAGGGGGCAGCCTCGGTCCACAGGACCCTGCCTGCCAGCTCAGGCTCTCTGTGGCCAGATGCCAGCCCTTTTCCTTACAGCTAGAGAAATTCGAGGAGCAGAGGGCTACTGCAGGGGCTGTTGTCCCCAGATCACTGATCCTGTCTGGGTGTCGAGGCTCTTCCCACAGCTGGCAGAGCTTGCAACTGGAGCTGGGAAGATACAGCTCCTTGGAGCCCTTCCTGTCATTTTGTTCCTAAGACTCTTAATTCTACACTGGGAACTCCTAGATAGGCAGGCAAGCCCTTAGCAACAATTGGCTTAGGGGATGAATGGAGAAATGGAGGCACTGAGGTAGAGCCCAGACTCCCTCCCAGGTCCTCTCCTTAAAGGCCCCAAGTCAACAGTGTGGTAAGCAGGGAGTGTAAGGGCAGAGCACCCCTCAATCTGGGCCACGTGTGTGGAGGGTGGAGATGCTGCCCTTTCCTCAGACCCTCCTTTCAGGGAGTGTGCAGGTCCCTCTCTGGTTTGGGAGAGAACCAACTACTGTGGCCTGTGCGGCACCTCGTGTCATGGGGCCCATCACCCCTAGAGTGCTCTGGGCATGGGGACCTGCACCCACTTTGAACCTGGTATATTTCTGGCCAGGTCCGTGGGCCACATCCACAGGCGAGTCACTGACCACCTGAGTGTCGTCTACTATGTGGGAGACACTTTCTCTGAGGAGTACACAGGCTCCAGCCTCAAAACAGTGGAGCGGAATGTGGAAGATGATTATATCGCCAACCTCCGGAACAACTGCTGGAAGGAGAAGCAGCAGAGTGAGTGTGGGGGAGGGCGGGGCTGTATCTGGGAGATGACCAGGAACAAAGATGGAAAGCAGGGGAAGAAGAGAGCCCTGCTCACCTCCAGCTCTGAGGGCCTGGCCCCCGGCACTGCCCTGCACCAGCCACCTCCCAGCCAGAAGCTGGTCTTCACTCCTGTGTTTCCCCAGGGCTGGGAGCCAGGGGCCACGTGGTGGTTGCCTCAGGTTCCCGTAAATCACTGCCATCATCCCTTCATGTTGGCTGCCAGAGGTGAGTGTGTAGAGAGAGACAGGAGCAGATGGATCCCTGGCCACCCCTGACTGTGCTCCTGGATCTGTCTGTGGGACCCTGGGGAGGCCCGACCAGGATGACAGGGTCTCACGTTGGGTGGCCTCACTGCATTCTAGAGAAAGGTGCCTCTGTCACCCTCTCCCACGTAAGGACTATAATCTCTGCTCCTCCAGGGTCTCCCGAATGGGAGGCCAGCCCTGCCCAAGCGCTGGGCATGTACCAGCCTTCCTCCACCTCCACAGCCCTCGCAGTCTTCCTCGCAGGCTTCCTCGCAGGTTTAGGGAGGCACTGGGTGTGTGCTAATCCTGTCCTATTGCTTTGCAGAGGAAGGCTTGCTGTACCGGGCTCGCTACTTTGGTGACACGGATATGTACCACAAAGCACAGAAGATGGGCACCCCCAGCTGCAGCCGACTGTCAGAGGTGCAGGCCTCCCTGCATGGATAGTCCCGGGCCAGCCACGCCACCGAGGTCCAAGTATGAGCCAGGGCTGCCTCCACCCTGCAACTCCTGGCAGCTTTGGCCCTGGTCATGAGGCAGAGGAGGGAGGGGGAGAAAGGGAGAAAGCCTGGTGACTGTGGCAGACTCCTGGGGCCTGCTGGGAAACCAAGATCGGTTTCCGCCCTCTAGCAATGCTCTCCACCCCACTGCTCCACTCTGCTCCCTGGCTCCGGGGGTGTGGGGTACCCCAGAGCCAGGCAGAGTGGGAACCCAAAGCTGTTGCTGAGGGCCACCCAGGGCCTCTCGGTCCACTCCAGCCATCAGTCACCCGGCCCTTTCTCCAGCACAGCAGACTACTGTCTGTGCCCTGGTATTTAGGCCACCACATATTGTGGGGCCCAAGAGAGCCCCATACACACACTGCCTGCCTGATACTAGGAAGAACCATGCGGGAACAGGTGGGCCAAGAACCCTCCTCTTCCTCCATCCCTCCAGCCAGGAGGAAATGGAGCCAGATGAACAGGCAGCCACGAGGTGGGTGGGAGCTGGCAGTCTTGGTGGCAGGAGGGGCCACGGGCCCTGACCACCCCCTCTGGTGGGATCTGAGGCACTCTCTCAAATGCCGCCACACCTGGCAGCCTAGAAGCCGCAGGCATCCGGCCCTGCCCAGGCATCTCGCCTGTGGTCTGAGGAAGGGAACAGAAGGTCACGAGTTCAGGGTCAGATGCAGCCGCTCAGCACAGGAGGGGTGGAGGAGAAATGAGAGTTGCTGGTAGCAGGCTCCCGCCTCCCTGTGAGTAGGGGTGCTGGGCCCTGTTCCCAGCATTTGCCACAGGAGGCCATTTGGGCCAAGCCAAGAGGAGTGTGGGCAGAAGCAGTAAATGTTCTCCATATGGGTGCCCTGCCCACCCTCTCCTTTGCCTATGTCCTCCCGGCCTAGATCAGAGGCCAACTCTGCCTGAAGGCCATTTGTGCCTCTGTGCCTCTGCAGGAGCGCAGACAGCAGGTGGGTTGGGTGGGGGTCGAGCGGGCAGCACGGTGCCCCTGCGCAGTGGCGAGGGGAGCTACTCGTGTGGCTTAAGCTGGAGGAGCTGGTGTCGTGTGATTGCCAAGCTAACTGTTGCCACTCTCCTCCCCAGACTATGAAATCCCTGGAGAATTTTTGGTGACATGCACTGAGCCAAGGTGATGGACTGTATATTTAAGGAAAGACATACAAAGAAACAAAATTAAAATGGAATTGGAGGCTGAATGCTACACAGCTGCCCTCTCTCTCACCCAGTAAATGCAGAAAGCTCTTAGGACAGACAGAAAACCTGCCACAGGGCTGCTTCCCTCCCTCCCAGGGCTGGCGGAGGCTCCGCAGCGGCCCTCTCCTAGGATACGGAAACCATGGCAACGAAAGTAGAATGTAAAACTTGCAGCAGATATCAGTGGGAAGGGCTGGGGGAGGGGCGCCCAGCTGCCTTTCCTCTCTCCCAGGAGCCACCACCAGCCACCTCTCAGGAGAAACCAGAGGTACTGGCCAAGGATAGAGAGGAGGAAGAAAGAGAACTCTCCATAGAATGTAATTTATAGATGCGTGTATATGTATATGTATATATATATCTATTTATATGTAAATAGACATATATGAAGATATATATATATAGTCTACTTTTTAAACCGCAGGGATTTGGTTAAGCTGTTTAGCCAATTTCTTTCATGTTTTAGAAATGAGGCCTGTTTGGGGAAGGCACCCTGGTGATGATCTTGCCAGACGTTAGCTATAGCTGGCAGCATAAGGAGAGTCGCGTCAGAGCTTTTCACAGCCCCCCAAAACCCCAGCCTGGTTTTAATGGCAGCAGTAATTATGATAGCGTGAACCCAAAAAGGCCTCAGGATTTTGATTAAGCTGGAGAGGAGCAGGCCGTGGAGGGAGGGGCCAGGTCATTATTGAGTCACAGTAGAGGCCCTGTGACTCAATCGGGCAGTCACACACCTCTTCCTAAACTCTGGTGGGCTCTTTGTCCTGGTGCCCAGGAGCCCTCCAGCCCCCTGCCCGCAGAAGGGAAGGCCTGCAGAGGGGCCAGGTTCTACCGAACCACTTCCCCGCCCCTAAGTCCCTCAGTGGGCTTTGCCTTATAGGTGCCATAGGGCACAGCTCCATCATTGCCACTGGTTTTTCCTAAGTCATGCACCAAGGACTTCAGAAGGCTCTTCCTCCGAGTCAGCCGGTGGCATCAGGACCCCAGGGCAGTCTCTTCGACTCCTGAAGAACAGTCAGTGCCCGTGGGCACCTCTGTCTTCACCCACCGTGGATGTGACCACCAGGCCTCCTCTTGCACCTTGGACAAAGGATACACCTGAACCAGGACAGTTTTCTTCCCCTCACCTTCAAATGAGGATTTTGCTGAAAACAGCACTTGCTGCCAGGGGAAGGAGGGAAGTTTGATTGATTCCCACAGTTTCTACTGGGCCTTCTGGAATGACCGTGTTTTCCTGTGGCAGTGGGGGTGTCAAGCCCGCTGCCTTCCAAAGCCTTACTTCCCCAAGCTGCCAGCCAGGAGGTGATAACCTCCCTCCCAGAGTTTCTCTTGGCTCTTTTTTTAAAAGTCCCCCAACAAATAGGATTCTTGCTGGGAAAGGAAGTTTGGTAAGGAAATGTCAAATCTGGTTTTTAAACAAGTCCCATCCTGCAATGAAGTGGCCACCTCAGCCCAGAGAGAGATGATAAGAACTGATGTGGCCAGAGTGCCCACCCACGGTGGCCCCGGTGCTCTGTCCCCAACGCCCCGACCGTCTGGTCTTGGTAATGTCCCTAGACGGGCTGAGCCATGTGCAATAAGAACATAGATCCTAAAGGATCCCCCGGAAGCTGTATTTCTTGAATTAGAATTCTGAAATTGTACATCTATAAATATATGTTTATTATGTGACTGGCCGTGGTGGGTCTGCATTGAGCAGGGAGGCATAAGGGAGCGGGGGTGGGGGCACAAGCCCCTGCTGCTACTGACACTGTCCAGCTCGTGCCACAAGGAAATCCTTGATGAGGAGCCTGAATTTCCCCCGACCCCCGGCCCCAAATGACAGCCACTTAAGTCACCTGCTGTTCCAGAACTAACTCTGTCCAGGCAGAGGGTGCTCAGGTGGCTGGGGGGATGCAGGACCTGAGCAGGCTGGGTCCCTGGGGTTCCCAGTGCCAGTCCTGGGTGGGCATCTGGCCACGACTGTCACCCTCTGCTTTCTCCCCTCCCACATACCCCTACGCTCTTAGGCCTGCCTTGTGCCCACAGGGCATTTGGAATCTCCTGGCCCCAACCTGGAGCTCAAACCCACTTGGGAGCCAGAGCCTTGGGAAAATGTCTCAAGTTTGTTTCCATCTCTGGCTACAGAGTCCTCCCCACACCGCCCCTGCAGCCCGCCCTCCTCTCCAGGAGGTTGGAAAATTAAAAATGTGGCGGCTGGAGTCAGGTTGGGCTCCTGTGAATGGAGCGGCAGATCTGCCCGGGCCTCCCAGAGACAGGGCCCGGCAGCCCTGACTGGCCGACCCAGGGCCCTCCCGCGGCTGCACCAGCCAAAGACAGGCAGGCTGCCCGGTGGTGCCACCGCGCCCCGGGAGCTCATTGGCTGCCCTGCCTGGGGTCACCACAGCCTGCCCTAGTGTGCAAGCCGCCACTTGTTAGCTGCGGCTGGCAGAGGCATTGTGGGCGCGTTCCATTCACCCACCTCATCCCCCTGCCCTCCCTGTGCCGCTGGGCCACACGCCAGAAGAGGTGGGACGCACGCTCTGACTGCAGCAAAAAGACTTTAACAAGTGTCCCCCACCCGCTGTCAGGTGGTAGAATGTGCCACTACTCTGTCCCAGCTCCCAAGCTCTGCCAGCTTATCACCTTGTCCCCCGCTGCTCCCAGGTCCAGAAAAGAAAACTGCTCCAGGGACAAGGAGCACACACCCGACCTGCCTGTAACCTCATCCCCGCCCCAAGTTGCCCAGACAAAGTCACCTGGTGTCTGGAGCAGGCACATAGCAGTGCCAAGAATCAGGTAAATAGACCGTTGACATGATTCAGAAGCAACCCAGAGTCCCTACCAGACATCACGCCATGTGACATGAGTAAGTCAGCCCATTTCCCAGAGCAGGAAACAGGCTTGGAGGAGGAAAGGGACACCCAGGGGCTTGAAGAAACCGTGTATGTGTCTGGGGTCCCTGTAGTAAAGTGGTCATTCTGCAAACAGTTGCTGAGCCCAAATTTGCTGCACTCAGAGAAATCAAACCCACTGGTGTCAGGTAGAGTGGGCAGAAGACCCAAGTCCAGGAGGGTGGACAGGGATGTCACACTGAGAGTGGTGGCACTTCATCTGATGGGCTTGGCCTAGGGAGCTGCTGCCCATTTGAGTAGGCATCTTTCCTGGCAGTGACAGACATCCACCTGGCTGCACCAGGAAACGTCATCCCTAGGATGCAGCATCAGGGGCCGGGGCTGGATATTTGCCATTTACTGACTGGGTGACCTTAGGTGTTGCTGAAGGAGTTCAGGAAACGCCACCCCAAAATCTGCCATTTTGGTGTGCATCATACTTCAAACCGGGGCACCTGAGCAACAACAAGTGCAGGAAGGCAGGAAGGGCTTTTCATTTTATTTATTTATTTTTTTTGAGACGGAGTTTTGCTTTTATTGCCCAGGCTGGAATGCAATGGTGTGATCTCAGCTCACTGCAACCTCTGCCTCCCAGGATCAAGTGATTCTCCTGCCTCAGCCTCCCAAGTAGCTGGGATTACAGGGATACGCCACCACACCCAGCTAATTTATTTATTTATTTATTTATTTATTTGTATTTTTAGTAGAGATGGAGTTTCTCTATGTTGGTCAGCTGGTCTCGAACTCCTGGGCCCAGGTGATCCACCTGCCTCGGCCTCCTGAAGTGCTGGGATTACAGACGTGAGCCACCACCCCCAGCCATAGGAAGGGCTTTCCCTGAAGTTTCTTCATCTGCCTAAGTTGTCCTGAGCCCTGTCTGGGGCATCTTATCTACCAGGGAAGATTAACTCATTGACAATTACCTATTATTCTTGGGGCTGCTCAGACAACTTTTATGACCTGAGAGACTTTTTATCTGCAGAACGAGACAACCTTTGCTCACCATATAGTTCCTCCCCACACCCTCCCAAACCTGTGTTGCCACTACCCACTGGAAGCTCCCAGCCCCTTTTCTATAAAGGTACAAAGGTTATCCTGGACCCCACTTCCTTTTCTGTAGCTCAAGATGTGATCCTTCTTGGAGCCTCATACTTCATGGGGTCCCATGCCTACGTACATAATTAAATATTATTTTTCTCCTGTTAACCACTTTATCTGTCCATTTAATTCCTAGCACAGCCAAAGAACCTGGAAGGGTGAAGGGAGTCAGTTTTTGCTCTCCTGTGTCATTTGACCGCCCTCTGCTTCAGTGTCTTCATCTGCAAAATGGGAGTGATAGAAACACCTCCCTCATAGGGTGGTTGTGAGGCGTAAACAGGTTGCCACATATAAAGCACTTAGGACAGTGCCTGGTACATGGTGAGTGCCATTCGGGTGTTTCTTGTTTGTTCTTAGTCGACAAAGATTAGCTGAGTACTGATGGTGTCAAGTCCCATTCCAGGCAGTGAAAGCTCTAAGGTGACAGAGATGTGGACTGCCCTTGAGTAGAAACCCCGGGAGTGGGGCAGGTGTGAGGGCTCTATCCAGGGACTCTTGATAGAGGAACTAGCATTGGTGAAGGAGGTGGGTGCAGGCAGCACTGGGGTGGGGGTGGAACAGGTGCCCCAGTGTGAGCAGAGGCCCTGAGGCCGGAGAGTGCAGAAATGAGGGCATTCAGGAGCAATGCTCGGGCGAGGCCCCCAGTCTATACCTGTCATCATACCAGGCCCACCCAGTGGCCTTGGGCAGAGAACTTTCCCAGGAATGAATGAGAGACCCCGAGCTTCTCCGCTATTGGCTGCACCTGTCCACTCAGTAATTCACCCAGCAAGTGTTTCTGAGCCTTTCTTGGTGGCCTGCCTGCCCTCAGGGAGGCTGCAACTAACTCTATAAGCTGAGAGAAGGCCATGCAGGGGAGGGGGTAACAGAGCAGACAGGACTGTCACTCCCACCCCAGACCCGTATAAGGAGATGTTTCCCCAGGACAGGGCCCGGAACTCCTGTCACTTTCACAACCACTTGGGCATGAAATAAAGGTGCACGGCTCAGGCAGGACGAAGGGGCAGGAGGGCAGGTGCTCTCTAGGACTGCATGGCCAGTCTGCCCAGAGCCCAGGAATTGGGCTTTGCTTGAGGAGGAGGAGGGGAGGACCTGCCACATCTTGTCCACCTTCCCCACCCTCCTGCCAAGTTGGTCTAAACAAAGCCCCTAGGGAGGGAGGGCAGGGCTGCTCTCAGACTGGCTAGATTTTTCCTGGAGGAGGCAGCGCCTCCACTGGAGCCTGTGTTAGTCAAAGCAGGGGTCACGCCAGGGCCTGCAGGGACTCCGTCTGGCAATCCCACCACCTCGACTGGATTGTTCTTATTTGTCAGAGGGACTCAGATGAGGAGGCCTGAGAGACAGGTGCCTGGCAGCGTGGGAGCATGCAGTGGGCTCCTTCAGGTGGGGAAGGTGGGGCCAGAGGGAGGGGGGGTGCTCGGCCAGGCCCGGCCTCATTCCCTCACACCGACAGCCCAGAGCCTCCCCTGCCCAGTCAGCCCTGGTACACTCCTTCTCCTGGCCCCAGGTCACCTGCAGGGCCCTCCCAGCCTGACTCTGGCCCTTCAGGGCCTCTTACATCCTGTTCTGGAGGTATTTACATATTTATGTAGTTCTTTTTTTTTTTTTTTAAGATGGAGTCTTGCTCTGTTGCACAGGCTGGAGTGCAATGGTGCGATCTTGGCTCACTGTAACCTCCGCCTCCCAGGTTCAAGCGATTCTCCTTCCTCAGCCTCCCGAGTAGCTTGGACTACAGGCACTCACCACCACGCCCGGCTAATTGTGTGTCTGTGTGTGTTTCTAGTAGAGACGGGGTTTCACTGTGTTAGCCAGGATGGTCTCTATCTCCTGACCTTGTGATTCGCACACCTCAGCCTCCCAAAGTGCTGGGACCGCGCCCGGCCTGTATTCGTGTAGTTCTTAGGTAAAGGCTTCCTCTCTGGAGAAGAGGTTCAAGGCTGCGGCCCCAGGGCCTGGGCACCACACCCTGGGGTCTCCATGGGAGGCTGAGGGAAGGAAGGGCCTGTCGGCACTGAGGCACTGTCCCCCTGCTGCGTCCCCAGCCTCGCCTACTCCTCTGCCCAGGGTCACCCTAGGGGACTTCTTTGCAGCCATAAACCAGCGCACTGGCTGGGGGATGCTTCTCCCAGATCTTAGAGGGCTCAGACCCAGGGCATCAGCCACGATGTGTGCCCAGCTGGACAGTGGGTGAAGTCCAACAGTCTCATGGGGCTGGGGTGAGCACGGGGTGGTGGCTTTTTCCTTTTCCTGCCTCCTGGGGGAAGCAGAGTCCTGATGAAAAGTCCCCATGTCTCCTCTCCTGGTGGGAGGACAAATATACCAAGGGCCAAAATGAGAATCACAGTGGTCATTTGAGGGGAGCACTGACTCCTGTCCGAAGAGGTCACCACCCCAAGGGATAGAGGAGGAGGCTCTCTTCAGCGCTCAGGCCTGTGACAGACAGCACCAGCCACTCCTGGAGTCAGACCCAGTTCTGTCCCCAGCCACCCCAGTGCTGCCCTGGCCACAAGCCCTGGGGGCACCTCTGGCAGACTCTGCCACCTGCTGGCTGCCAGCCCATGGCCTGGGTGCAGAAGGTGGCATCCTGGGCCCTAATTTTGCTTCCAGCCACATGTCAAGCCAGCTACCACCACTGCCACCACTGCGGGTGTCACACGGGCAGCAAGTGTGTCCATGGCATTCAGCCTGTGAGTGACAGGCCTTTTGAGGCCACTGCAGGTGCTCAGAGCTTCTGCTCTTTGGATGTCTTTGGTCCTCAGTCTCTCTCTGGTCCCATCTTGGCACAGAAGCAGTGAGCACAAAGCTCAGAGATTGGAGTTCCAGCTTCAGCCATGGACACGCGAGGCCAGGATGCACTTTTCATTTGTATTATTTACTTATCAACTCTTATTATAGGCTAGTGCGGTGGCTCATGCCTGTAACCCCAGCACTTTGGGAGGCTGAGGCAGGCAGATCACCTGAGGTCAGGAGTTCGAGACCAGCCTGACCAACATGGTGAAAGGTGTCTCTACTAAAAATACAGAATTAGCCGGGCATGGTGGTACATGCCTCTAGTCCCAGCTTCTTGGGAGGCTGAGGCAGAAGAATCACTTGAACCCTGGAGGCGGAGGTTGCAGTGAGCCAAGATTGTGCCATTGCACTCCAGCCTGGACGAGATAAGCAAAACTCCGTCTCAAAAAAGCAAAAAAAAAAAAATCTTATAATTATCATCATCATCCCACAGACCTGACTGGTTCAGTCACTAAGAATGTTAGCCTGTCAGCCACTACTAAGTTTATAGGTGTCAGCGCTGCTAGCCCGACCCAGATCAACTTTGTACAAATGCCCCATGGAGGTCGGGGGGGCTGGGATCCCTCATGGGGGCTGGGGTCCCTGCCAGACCCAGCCTTTACCCAGGATCCCAAGCCCAGGCCTCTGCTTTCAGTACTCTGGGCCCAACATCCGCCCACTCCCTGCCAGCCCAGAGTTCACGCTGTGGGGTGGGATTGGAGCCTGGAGGATCGAGTTTCATGCCCTACAGCTGCCCATATTATTAGCTCTGGAGCGGGGCAGCCCGGGCTGTAACACAATTCAAGGAACTGTAGACTTGGCTGAGTTTCCAGCCCAGCAGCTGGGAGGGACGCAGGCAGTGGGGAGCAGGGGCCTCTGACTCCTCCCAACCCCCAGTGCCTGTTTTGAGAGCTAGAGAAGACTGCAAGACGACTGAGTCCCTCCACATGCCGCTGATGTCAGTGTGGGCACTGGGGACTCTCAAGGCCCTTGGGCAACCCCAGCCAGTTGCCCAGCTGCTGGCCTCCTCCCATACCTGTTTGTGCAATCCGGGCCGCCTCCTCCTACCACTGCCCCTGGACAGAAGGTGATGGGAAATGGGTGACCCTACTCCTCAGCCAGGAAAAGGACACCCCAGACCCCCAGCAGGAGAAGGAAATTTCCCCTCCTCTCCACCTCCCTCGTCAACTCCTGCCTCCTCTTTCTGTGGCTGGTGTCTGCCGGTGCCAGCACACCCCAGAGTAAGCCAGGGAAAACCTGGGCCTGGGCTAGGGCCCCAGACTATGGCTCCGGGAAAGGACTCGGGCTCCTGGCCGGGTGCACCCACAGCGGGGATCAAGGCCAGTCTCCTAAGACCCCTGAGCCCCTTCCTTGTCTGCCAGTGGGAGTCACACTGTCCCGCAGGCTCTTGGGGACTAAGAGAAGTATGTTGATGTCCTTCACATGCCTGGAAGTGCCCACAGAGTTAGCTGTTGCATAGAAGGTTTTGGCCCTGTCCCTTCCCTGAGAAGGGACAACAGACTTGTGGCCCCAGTGCACTCTGCATGGCAGACCTCCCTGTCAGCAGAAACCAGTGATGAAGAATTGGAAGATTTCAGCACCTAATGGACTGTACCAGAACATGCTGGGCCTGGGGTCTAATTACCGGGCTGCCTGGAGAAGGCAAGGACAACATGCTTGTCCTGAAGGCATAAATCACAGCGTTAGAGTGGCAGGCTTCGAAGACAACTTCTCAGACTGTGTCCGCAGAGCCCTGGGCCCTCAGGGGCGTGGGTGAGGGAGGGGGGCGCCCGGGGATCCAGCCACCCGTCTCAGTTACCTGCTGTTGTCTGGTCTCTTTAGTGCAGGTGGAATTGTGACTGAAGAAGGGGTTCCACGGCTAAAGTAAATATTTAAAAACCAGACACCTAATCTAACTCCATGATGTTACCATTGAGGAAATCAAGGCCCAGGAAAGAGAAGTAACTTGTCAAGGTTGCCCAGCGGTGTCGGAGCTGCTGCCTGGGACACAGACCAGCCCCACCCCAACCCCGGGCTGTGGAAAAAGAGCCAACACCGGGCAATGAGGACAAAGGTGGGCCAGGGGTGGGGTCTGGGCCTCAGCCATAGCGCCCCTGACCTAACCCCAGAGGGCAGGCCTCAGGGCCAGGAGCCAGGTTGTCCCTGAAGGCAGCCCCAGACGCTGATCTAGGAGGACTGCAGAGTCCTCTGTCCACTTCTCTGAGCAGCCAAGAGCTCTGCAGGTTGTCACCCTGGTAAGGCTTCACCAAGAAACCAACAAGCCCTGCCAGCCTGCCAGTTAGCCATCCGGCAGCCTGCCAGAGCCATCCGCCACATTCTCCAATTCCTCCTTGCAAGTACCCGACAGTTCACAGACCTGGGGCCAAGCTTCCCTGAGGCACAGCCTGAGCGCCCATCATTATTTCTTCTTGTTCCTGGGTGCCTCTCTGGCCCCTGCCCTAGGTGGGTAGCTGCCTTCCTCCCCCAGCCCCAGCCCCAGCCCCTGCTAGCCTGTCCACCCAGCCCCTATCCTCCCTGGTGGAGGTGGTTCACAGGTCTTCCAGCCAGCCTCGGGCTCTTGGTTCTCACACAGCCTAGTACTGAGTACCAGCTCGGCTGGCGAGACCCCCGCCCAGGTGGCGCTGAAGGCAATGAGAGGCAGGCACCCAGACAGAACAGCAAAGTGGATCTATCCAGGGGGCCAGCAGCCTTCCGAACTGAGAGCCTCAGGGGCTGCCAGCATTCCAGGCTGAAGGCCGGGAGCAGAGTCTGATCCACGTAGTTATCTCTCTGCACAGGTGATGATTATTAACAAACAGGTGTTCTGTATTTTCTCATAACGCAAAAATATTCCAAGTAGGCAGCTGTTTCCCACTTCCCACTGACTACAGACAAACTAAAAGGTGTTCTCCACGAGGGAGCCCCGGGGGCAGGGGCAGATAGCTCAGAGAATGGTTTTGACTGGTGTACGATATTTACATTGTTTTACCACTTTGGAATGCCCCCAGTGGTTTTCCACTTGGGGAGAGGGCCAGCTAGGTTTTCCTTGTCATCGTTCTTCCTAGCAAACAATATATTCTATCATACACTCAGCATTCATCAATATTCATAAACTCGATATTTCTCAACAGCCTAACTCAGTCTCTCCCCAGTCAAGGCGGACAGGGTGATGCCTGACCTCAGACAGCGAGCCAGGCAGGGGCTGGGGCCTGCGGCCCTGACTAGGCGAGACTCCGTCAGGAAACCACAACCAGCTCCCCACACCTGTGCTCTGGCTAGGATACACCTTGTGACGCAGCACCAGGGTGGTCAGCCATCCTGACTTGCCCAGGACTCTCCTGGTGAGCACTGAAAGTCCCCAGAAACCCCTCAGATCTGGACATACTGGGACAGCTGGGCACTCCACAGGGACACACCATCCCTGCCGCCACTGAACTGGGCCTTTTTTCTTTCCATAACCCTAGCTGTTCTCTCACTAAGCTAATGAGTGGGACCACCAGCAGTCCCCTCCGCCTGTCTGGCCCCCTCAGACTGGGCTGAGGCTGGCCACAGCCCCACAGTACGGTCTGAGGCCTGCTGAGGTCTGCTGAGGAGGTGAGCAGAGGCTCCATAGCCCCTCAGAGGCCCGGGCCTGCCTAGGCCCTGTGAGGTGGAGAATGGAGGAATCCAGAAAGGCCCCAGGATCCATCCCACCCCTGTGTGGTTCCCAGGATGGGGCAGGCCATTCTGAGGTGGTCCTGGGAAGGCAACCCCAGCACGGGAACCAGGCCTGCCCGGGGCCCACCGAGGCTGCCTCTACCTGTCTGGGCTTGAGGTGAGTCACTTCCTCCCTCAGCTGGTATGTGGCGGGGAGGGGAGGGTTGGGGAGGGGACAGCATCTAAAAATAGCAGGGCCTAGACTGGTGGAAGATGCCCAAAGAGCTGCTTCTTGGGCCAGGGAGGAGCCAGCTTCCCATGAAACTGACATCAGCCACGGCCCCCACCAGGCCTTGGATTAGGCCAGGGAGGGAGATGGCCAAGACCTCCCTTACCCCCACTTCCCAGGCTCAGAGGCCCCTTGAAGGCTGAGACTCAGGAGCAGCGCCAGGTGGGGTAGGAACTTGGAGAGAGGAAGCCTCCAGCAGATGGTACATGTTCATTTCCCTGTGCACACACAGAGATGCATGCAGAGACACACAGACACATGCAGAGAGACACGCACACAGGACACAGGCACACGCCCTTGCCCAGCCCGGCTTCATGAGTCATCTCCCTCATACCAGGACTCATCTCCCTGGTCAGCAGGGTAGATTGAAGACCCACTGTGTGCTTGAGCCACACCCTGGAAGACAAGGAAACCATGCTCATGATCGTCCCTGGCCTGGGGTACTCAACATGGTAAGAGGCCACTCAGGTAAGAGCAGAGCACCCAGGGCAAAAGCAAGATGCAGGCAGGGGGTGTGCAGCGGATGAGTGGGAGTCCCAAAGATCTGGTTTCAAATCCTGGAACTCCCCCTTTCTGGCCATGTGACCAGAGACAAGCTATTTGACCTCTCCTGCCTCTGCTTCTGTCTATGTAATGGATGCCATGTGAGGCCTTTATCATATGTCAAATACAATAATGCATATAAAGTCCCCAGGCAGGCCAGGCGCGGTGGCTCATGCCTGTAATCCCAGAACTTTGGGAGGCCGAGGTGGACAGATCACCTTAGGGCGGGAGTTTAAGACCAGCCTGGCCAACATGGAGAAACCCTGTCTCCACTGAAAATACAAAAATTTCCCAGGCATAGTGACACATGCCTGTAATCTCAGCTACTTGGGAGGCTGAGGCAGGAGAATGGCTGAAACCTGGGAGGCAGAGGTTGCGGTGAGCTGAGATCATGTCATTGCACTCCAGCCTGGGCAAGAAGAGCAAAACTTCATCTCAAAAATAAATAAATAAATAAATAAAGTTCCCAAGCAAGCCGAGCTCTTACCATCAAAGCTTATGGTATCAGGCTAGAAACCTTGGGGGTGGGGGTACTGTGAAGATGTTGGTAGACCGTTCTATCCCAAGGACTTACTGTGACATTCTACCTGATAGGGAAAGGGGGAGGGGTGGCGGGGGAGGGCTGCTGCCACTTCCCACAGCACCCGCCACTACTGTGAACACTTGATATCATTCTCATTTTCCCTCAGCCTTACAACAGCTTTACAAAGTAGGCATCAGGATCCCCATTTCACATGTGGAAAAATGGAGGCCCAGTGACTTCAATCACCGGCCCAAGGTCATGACCCTGGCCAGGGACAGAAGCCAGATTGGGGCCCAGACCTAAGTGTGAATGTCCTGTACACTGTGGGATGAGGCGGGGTCTGTCATGCCCGGTTGGCTGAGGGTGCAGGGGTCTCTAACTCTTTCAGGAAGAGCCCCTGGGACCCCCTGCCTGGGGTGACTGTGGAATATGCTGAGCCTCTTTGGCCGGTGCTCTGGTGCTCCCCGACTCTGGTCCTTTCAACTGCCTGGTCCCACCTCTCCCACCCTGAGCCCCTATCAGCCCTCAGACCACTCCCAGAAACAGACCAGCTCCACTCCCTCTGGGAGTTACCCCCTTCACTTCCAACATCAGCTCCGTGAGGGAGGTACCTGGACCCCCGAGTGACAGAAAAGACAGCTGGATCAGAGGGGTTAGGAACCTGCTCTCAGAGCTGGGGAAGCAGAGGCCAGACAGAGCCCCGGCTGCCCTAACTCCCTAGCTGCCAGTCTGGATCCCACACCCTGGCTGTCGCGTGGGGGTGGGGACTTCTCTGCTCCCCCTGCTCCTCAGGCTTCCCAGAGCCATCGCTGTTTGTACGGGTAGGGTTGCACGCAAAGTGCAAGCCTTGCATCAGCCAGACAGGCCCTACTCTAGTAAGAGCTGCTTTCTGCCTCTCTGGGCCTTCCCCACCGTTATCTGACTCATCCCCTGTCAGTCCCAGGAGACTGCAGAAAGACCAGGACTCTTATCCCTATTGCACAGATGGAGGGACCGAGAGAGGAAGTGACTTACTCCAGTGACTCAGGGCCAGACCTGGCAGCAACCCAGGCTGAGTAGGCCACAGGTGTAGCTGGCATGGCCTGGGGAACGTTCCTGGGTGCCACGCTGCCAGACAAGCAGTTTTTAATGCCTCACAGTAGGCACAAATATCAACCGATGTGTGTCAAATGAATGAAAGGATGCTTCAGGGCCTGGGTGAAAGATGAGGGGTGATATTGAGGAAAAAAATGAATACGATACAGGGAAGGAAAAAACCCTGGAAACCCAGACATGCTCCAGTTGCAGCCTCTGAGCCCAGCTTGCTTTGTAGCTCCCAGTTCCCTCCTCTGTAAGAATCCTCGTGGCTGTCACTTACTGGGTGAGTGCTAGTGACTGGGACTTAACACTTGTAGCCTTTTTTGTTTTTCTTTCTTTTTTTTTTGAAACGGTCTTGCTCTGTTGCTCAGGCTGGAGTGGAGTGGTGTGATCTTGGCTCACTGCAGTCTTGACCTCCTGGGCTCAAGAGATCCTCCCACCTCGGCCTCCCAAAGTGCTGGTATTACAGGAGTGAGCCACCACACCCACCCCTATAGCCTCTATCTTATTTCACCCTGACAACAACCCAGTGATGCTATCATCTTCCCCATTTAACAGATGAGTTATCTGAAGCTCAGAGACGTTACTCAGTTCTTGTTCCAACCCGCACGGGACCACACTCCAGGGGCTGACTTGCAGCTGCTCTCCAAACCCAGCAGGGCAGATGTGCCCCTGCGCGTGCGATGCCCACGTGGGGAAGCCCAGGTGTGTCTGCGGGTTGGCACCAGCTCCTCGTGTCTGTCAGAGCAGTGCGGGGGTGGTGCAACAGGAGCGGAACCCAACGCCCGTGGCCGGCGGAGATAATGAGCCAGGGTGCCTGGGCCGCAGGGGGCTTGGGCACGCGGGCCCACCCGTGTGCTCAGGCCCTGCATGCCCTCCTCAAACCCAACCACAACTGGGGAAGCTGGGGGCGGGGCTAATGCTGGAGACCGGGCCCGCCGGCCCGGGGCGCATTGCCAGAGATTGCCCCATCCGGCTGCATCCGCTTTCGCAGCCCTGCACGTTGCGCGCACAGCGTGCCGGCCTGAGCTGGGTCGCTTGTCCCCCGTCCCCCGGTCCCCCGCCCGCGGCCCCGGCCCGGCTGCCTTCCCGCCCTCTCCCCTGGCTGAGACCCGGGCCAGACGGAATCCCCAGCGGCCCATTACCCCGCCGGGCTCGTCCCAGACACCTTTGATGGCTGCCCTTTGCCCCGTCTGGTCTGAGCGGACAAACGAGGGAAATTGAGTAAGCCAGCTCTGCAAGACAGGAAACTCCTGGCCGCTTTGTTACTCATGATTTTCAGCAACTTGAGGAGTTGGGGGCAGGGGAGGAGAGTCCTAGGGGAATTTCTGGAGTTCAAGGAGATTGGGCGCGCCCTTGGGGCAGGCCTACCTCCCAGGACAGGTACGGTAATTGGCACTAGTAATAATAGCTCCACAAATTCGTGTTAACATGCATTTTCAAGAATGCAATTTATTTAATTTTCAAGCCTTCAGTCCCAGCTACTTGGGAGGCTGAGGTGGGAGGACCCCTTGAGCCCAGGAGGTCAAGGCTGCAGTGAGCTAAGATCTCGCCACTGCACTCCAGCCTGGGTGACATAGCGAGACTGGTCTCAAAAAAAAAAAAAAAAAAAGCATTTTCTCACTCATCTGCTTTGAGTGACTGCCAGAAAGAATTCCCAAGTGAAAGGGGGCAGGTTTAGGGCTGGAGCTCAAGGCTGGCATTTGGAGCTTGAGGTTCTGCATTTGGCCTTGGTTTGCCGTTTCACTTGGGCAAATCTCTTGGGCTGCATTTCTGTGGGGAATCAGTAATAAGGCAACCGGTCTGGCTCTAAGGCTCAGAGGCATGGGGCAGGCTTTGAACTCTCAGCAAGCAGGAGAAAGAGCCTTTCATTTGAAGCAGACATTTCCTCTTGAACATTAATATTCTGGGCTTTTCCAGGCTGGAGCCTCAGAACTGCTATTTCAAAACTAAGTGACATGAGTAGCCCCCTGTTGCTTACAGAATCAAGTCCAAATTTCTTGGTTTGACATTTGGGGTTTTCTCACATTGATTCTGCCCTGCCAGTATGGCTTCCCCCAACTACACCCCTACACTGTGATTAGGAAGAGCATCAGACTTCCCCACACAATGTTCAGACTTCTATGCCCTCGCTTATGCTGTTCCCTCTGCCCAGAAGGCTTTTCCCTACACTCTTCAAATGATTGGCTCCTTCTCATATTGATCCCCACGTAAATGTTACTTGAGTAGAGGTCCTGTAGAGGTCCCCTCTCAAAGCTCCCTGTTTTTTCTCTTTGGCTCTTACTGCAGTTCAGAATTTGAAGTTTCTTTCTCAACCGGGCTGAAAGGTCAGTGACGGAGAGATCAGGTCTGTTTTCCTCATCTCCGCATACCCAGGACTTACCAAGGTTCCTGGCACATACTAAGGGAACAATACATATATATGAAAAGGGGCTGGGCACGGTGGCTCATGCCTGTTAATTCCAGTACTTCGGGAGGCCAAAGTGGGCAGATCATGGGGTCAGGAGATCAAGACCATCCTGGCCAACATGGTGAAACCGTGTCTCTACTAAAATACAAAAAATTAGCCAGGCGTAGTGGTGCATTCTTGTAGTCCCAGCTACTCAGGAGGCTGAGGCAGGAGACTTGCTTGAACCTGGGCAGCGGAGGTTGCAGTGAGCTGAGATCATGCCACTGCACTCCAGCTTGGCAACAGAGCAAGACTCTGTCTCAAAAATAAATAAATAAATAAAATAATAACGATGATAACAATAAAATAAATAAATAAATAATCCGGGTGCAGTGGCTCATGCCTATAATCCCAGAACTTTGGGAGGCCAAGGCAGATGGAGCACTTGAGTTCACTGGCCAACATGGCAAAAACCCACCTCTACTGAAAATATAAAAATTAGCCAAGTGGTGGCACATGCCTGTAATCTCAGCTACTCAGGAGGCTGAGACAGAATTGCTTAAACCTGGGAGGCAGAGGTTGCAGTCAGCAAAGATCACACCATTGCACTCCAGCCTGGGCAACAAGAGCGAGACTGTGACTCAAAAATAAATTAATTAATAAATAAAAATAAATAAATATGGAAAGGAAGAAAGAATGAGTGATTAGCAAAAGCATGGGAACATTTTCTAAAAAATGGGGGGATGTGCATATATATAAATACATAGATATGTCTGCAAACTTAAGAAAAAACCAGCCTAATTCCTCCCACCCCCGAAAAGGAAGATGCAGATTTCTGCATGGTTTATTGTATATGCAAGCCCTGCTTAAAGATTATCTCCTCTCTCGGTCTCTGGTCCTGCTCATCTGAGCATGCCGAGAGGCACCCTGAAGCCAGGCCTGATGTTCCTTTCTGAGTCTGTCCCTGATGCTCCTGCCTGAGGCCAGGGAGAGGGACAGACGGCAGCAGCCCCTCTGGTACCTGGGTTTGTCCACTGGTGCAGGTGAAAGCAGAGCTGGTTAAGGACAATGACAGTGCCGGACGGACACCAGGCCACCATCTCCACCCACCACGTGCCGACGCCGCAGGTGGCCTTGGGCTATCAGCAGAGCTTCAACGTGACAGGAAGCCTCGCCTCCTGCAAGGCTGGGTCCAGCTGGCTCACTTCCGGGT